CCCCCCCCCTCCCCCGCCCCCGCCCCTCTGGCCATGCCCAGGCCTTTGCCCCCACTGACGGCAGCGGCGGAGGCCACGGTGCCAGCTGGAGCTTGGGGCAGAGTCCACGGGGAGGGAAGCGTCCTCCACAACCTCACCCTGCGCTCCCCTAGGAAGGTGGTGAGGCGGGTGAGTCTGACCCAGCGCACCAGCCTGTACCGCAAGGAGCATGCCCAGGAGGCCATTGTGTGGCAACAGCCACCTCCCACCAGCCCAGAGCCCCAAGAGGAGGATGAGGATGGCCAGACAGACACTGAGCTCAGGCCACCGCCCCCTGAGGTGAGCCCCTCCCCCTCACGTGGTGCAGGCCTTGACCCAGGAGCCAGTGGATCAGTGACCCTGCACCATAGACCAGCTGATGTCCTACCCCCGTGCCTCCCCTTTACCATAAAGCAGTGTGCCCAGGACCAGGGGAGGCCAGAAAGGGTCCCCCTGAATGGCCTCTGGGGCCCACGCCCCCCTTACAGGAGGAGGACTCCGAAGTGTCTAGGCCACACAACGGTCGAGTTGGGGGCACCCCTGGACGGCACCTGTACTCCAAGCGGCTTGACCGGAGTGTCTCCTACCAGCTGAGCCCCCCGGAGAGCGTGGCCCCCGATAGCCTGGGCCACAGCCTCGGCCGCACCAAGGCCCACCACACCTTGGCGGAGCTCAAGCGCCAGCGAGCAGCTGCTAAGCTGCAGCGCGGGCCTGAGGCCCCCGGGTCTGGTCTGTCGGCGGACACAGAGGCCCCCCAGCCCGAGTGCGGCTCCAGGGCTGTGGGGGACCCGCCCCTGCTCAAGCTCACAGCCCCCTCGGAGGAGGCCCCCGTGGAGAAGAGGCCCTGCTGCCTGCTCATGTGAGGGGCTGGCGCTCGGGCTGCCCAGGCTCTGCTGCCTCAGGCCTTTTGCTGGAGATCCTGACGTGTGCCCTGTGGGCAGGCAGCCAGCCATCTGGGACCCCGCCTCCGCAGGCAGAAATGGGCCTTGGCAGAAGCCATACCTGGGGGGCACCTGGCTACAGAGACCTCGTGTCATCCTGTGACTCTTGATAAAGAGCCCTCTGCCACCTGCCTTGTTGTGTCTCAGCTGGGCCACCGTCCCCATGGGAGCTGCTGGGCCTGGGTGCACCGTCCCTGTGCGCAGTCATCGGGCCTGTGGGTGCACGCTAGGGCTCGCTGGTGGTGGCCCAGCCCATGTGGGAGCGAGGCCCACAGATGCCGGGCAGGAAGCCTGGCCCTCACTGTGCCCTGCCTTCCCAGGCTCCTGGCGGCTCCTCTGTAACTCTTTGCTGTCCTCAAGGAGCTGCGGAAGGACACTCCCTGGGGACAGGGATGTGTGCCAGGGGAGCAGAGATCCTGGTTTGGGGAAGGAGGGGCAAAGACATATAAGGCTGGTGTCAGAAACCTGGGGGGCAGGTCCTCCATCCTTGGCATGCAGCCCAGTCCTGGGGCCTAGCTGCCAGATTTTCCCTGGGCTGGCAAAGGGGGCCAGCAGTTGGCCACTCAAGCTCTGAGCTGGCTGGGTACGATGTGTCAGGGTGACAGGGGTCCCTTAGGGGCCTTGCGTGGAGGGCTGAGGGCACCGCCATCTCATCAGTCCATGGACGGGGCTTCTGCATGGCCACCAGCGCTGGATGGCATGGGCTCAGGTCACCTTCCCCTCCTCGCTGAACACCAACCTGGTCCGCCCACTGTCCACAGGCCAGCCCTCCCCTGAGCCTTGTGGTGGGAGGGGTGTCTAACCTGGGGGAGGGCCAGGTGTGAGCTGCTGGTTACATTTAGTGTGGGGCCGGTGCTGCTGCCCAAGTCCACCTGCACCAAGCTGCCAGGGTGGGAGGGGCTGGCTCCGCCTGGGGCTGGGCCCATATTAACCTGCACTCTGGCCTGGGGGCCAGAGGGACAGGCTTGCTCACAGGAAGGCTGAGGAGGCAGTGGAGTGGCAGCGGAGCAGAAGGTGCGAGGTGAGAGTGAGGCTGGCGCTCGGGCCCCTGTGTCCTCTCCACTAGCAGGAGCTGACAGCCGGGCTCCCCTCTGGCCTGACCAGCCGCCCACAGAACAGCGTGGATGCAGGCTCCCTGGCCCTCAGCTCAGTCCCTGGCTCAGCCTCAGATGCCATGGCTGGAGTGGCCACCCTGGGCAGGGCCTGCGGGGGTGGGGCTCTGAGGGCCTATCACTGCTCACTCCCCACTCTCCACCAATTAGCAGCCACGGGAAGTAGAGCTGAGGTCACCCTGCCTGTGGGGTGGCCCCAAGGGCAGCCCCGGTCTGGTGAAAGGGCACCCCATGCAGGGCAGCAAGTGTCCAAGGGCCTCCCCCCCAACACGGGCTCGGGGCTCGCAGTGCTGATGGTGCCCAAGGCCTGAGCACGGGCCCCTGCAGCCCCCACCCTGCCATGACCACCAGCCCAGGAGGGGCCAGATGGAATACCCAGGGCCTCCCCCCCTCCCCCAGCACCCCAGGATTCCTGAGGCTTGGCTCAGTTACCTGGGAGATAGGGCTGCTGACCCAAGCAAAGATGGGGGACTCCACAGGGCTATACTTCCTCCTAGTCCGGCTAGGGTAAATCTCCGTTCTCCCCTCTGGGTTCAGCCCTGCCTAGCTCTGCCCACCCCCTTGGGGCACTCAGCCCAGCCCCCCTCCCCCCAGACCCAGTCCCTCAGAACTCGCTGCACCGTCTGTCCCTACCCCCCATGTGGGTCTCCTGCTCCTGTCATGGGGACACGGCCGGCGGCACTGGGCTGAGCCCCAAGCCCCGCCTGCCTCCTCACCCACTCCCTGTGGCTCCCTGGGCAGAGCTGTGCCCAGATGGGTGGGGCAGGCCCTGTGGCCCCAGAGGCCCCAGCTCCGCCTTCAGCCTTTCCTGTTCCTTCCAGTGGGGCCAGCAGGCTGTCGTGTAGAGGGTGCCTTACCTGGAGCCCCTACCCAGGCTCCCCCTTCCCAGCCCAGGCCCGCTGAGCTGGGACTCAGCTTCCCTCATTTCCACGTCTGGATCCTGCCACTCCCTGCCCGGTCTTAGCAGGGTCATGGCAACAAGGGCGGGCGGCCACAGCCTGGCTGCGATGAACGGGGCGCAGGAAAAGGTGCTGACGCTGGACACCATGAACGCCTGTGTTAAGAGGGTGGAGTATGCCGTCCGGGGCCCCATCGTGCTACGCGCCCTGGAGCTGGAGCAGGAGCTGCGCCAGGTATGCCCTCCAGACAGCACCCAGCAGCCGGCATCACATGGGACCGGAGCCTGCAGGGGTGAGAAGGCCCATTCTGTGTCCTGCCTCCATCCTCCCAGGGTGTGAAGAAGCCGTTCACTGAGGTCATCCACGCCAACATCGGGGACGCACACGCCATGGGGCAGAAGCCCATCACCTTCCTGCGCCAGGTGAGGCTGGCGCTGATCTGGCAACCTCTCCCGGTCAGCCGGTCAGCCCTGAGCCCTATGCCCTGTGTCCTGAGCCCTGTGCCCTTTGCCATGTGCCCTTTGCCCTTTGCCCTGAGCCTGGCCTTAGCAATCGCTCCTCCCAGGTCCTGGCCCTCTGCGTCCACCCGGATCTCCTGAACAGCCCGGACTTCCCCGAAGATGCCAAGAGAAGGGCGGAGAACATCCTACAGGCGTGCAGGGGCCACAGCCTAGGTGAGCCCACATGGAGCCCAGGGCGGAGGACTGGAGGAGGCTGTCCCAGGGAGGGGCGGGGCGGACCCACCCACTGGGAGGAGAGGATCTTTTCCCGGGAGCAGCCCGGTCCCAACGGGCCTCCCCCGCCCCCTGGCCAGGGGCTTACAGCAACAGCTCGGGCATCCAGCCCATCCGAGAGCACGTGGCGCAGTACATCCAGCGGCGCGATGGAGGCATCCCCGCGGACCCCAACAACATCTTCCTGTCCACGGGGGCCAGGGATGC